CCAGGTTGAGGCGAGCCATTCTAAAGAATGGAGCAGTGGTGAAATAACATAAACATCAAAATACATGTACGAAGACAAAGAAGCAAAAACAGTTTTAACCATGCAAAATTCTTAGTAGGTGTAGCTTTTGTGTCACAACACTGCGATAGTGGTATGTCTGCACCTGCCAAGTCTGTAATTCTTTTTCTTCATTTCCAGATGTCTATTTTACTGAGCTCTTTAAAAGACATAATTGCATTTTTCCTACTGCTATTAGGTAGATGTAGCTAAAATAGAAAAATGCCTCAAAACAAGCACAAGATACAAATATAAAAAAACAAATGCAGACAAGTTTGAGTATTTACATAGTTAACTTTGACTTGTTTTTAATCCTATTTGTCTGCATTTGCAACCAAATCAACATAGGGGATAGATGCATGCAAATACAGATTGTGGTAGAAACAGATACACCGATGTACAGAAGAAACCTCATGCCAGTTTATTCACAGGTTCAGTAGTATTTATTCCAAAGTAAGTGGCCAGAAGACTGCAGCCTCGCTCCAGATGAAAAAGGCCAAAAATGGTTAATAGTATGGCATGCCTAGCTCTTCTACTTGATATTACACTGTACTGAAAGTCTGACCAAATTTTACTCCTTTTAATTAAAGCAGTACGTTGAGTATAAATTATTCAAATCTGACAACTGAAAACTTGTTCAAGAGAAAGTGGAACAATACTACAATAACGTTCACATGAAAGGGTATACTACAGTCATTTTTTAAAATGTGAGAAACCCACCATCCCTAAAAAAATAAAAAATGCAAAGTTATCTCAGTTCAACACATCAGCATAGGACATCCTGAGGCTTTTGCAATAGGATGGCATATAAATATCCTAAATAAAAAATGAATGAATGAATGCACAACCTCCTCCATTGCACTGACTGGGAAGAAGGCAAGTGGGACTTGGCCCAATGAAGTCACCACTTCATTGAGGGGAGGGGAGGGGAGGGGAGGGTGGCAATGCTTGGGAATAACTCTCATCTTCTTCTGGTTGGTCCATAACTGACAAACACTTGAAAACAACTGCTTCAAAGAAGTAGTCTGTGAGAGAGCGGCCACTACTGTGGTCAGGGTTAGGAGCTGGTAAGTACATTGAATGTTACACGGACAGCAATTTATTATTTATTAGATTTATAGTCCACCTTTTTCTTTTTCTTTTAAGAACTCAAAGCAGCTTACATCATTCCCTTCTTGCTGCTCTCAGACTTATCCCCACAGAAACAACCCTGTGAGGTAGGTTGGGCTGAGAGTCTATGACTGCCCCAAAGTCACCCAGTTGGCTCCATGGCCGAGCGGGGACTAGAACCCAGATCGTCTGAGTCCCAGACATGTGACCTTAACCACTACACCTTGGATCTCAGGAACATCATATTGTGCTACATTATGAACTACCCTCTCTACCCAACCCTTTGTGGGCTTTATCTCATCAGGAAAGTGTGACTAGGCCCATCTTGTATAACTCGCTCCCTGGTCCAAGAGGAGCCAGTTCTTCCACTCAGTGCTTGGACTAGGAAAGAGGTTTTGCTATATATGGGCACTCCCAATTAGAGAGAGAGAGTAAAACACTTTTCTTTGCTTATAGCAAAGATAAGCTGGAATAGCTCCCAGCACCCCACTAATGGAAATCTATGGGGACTATCTAATTTTGCCCTATCTTCACATGTTCTTCCACCTTCCTAGAGGCATTGGGACTTGCCCAAGTGTGTGGATAGCAGTCACTTTTCCCCAGTATGCAAGTCCAGGTAACCACTGCCCCTCATGCCCCCACGGTTACCTCGGATCTAACAGCGGCACTTCGGCTGCACACCAGCAGAGGAACCCCATCGTGCTCTTCAATCTCAGACGAGAGATCACAATGAGGGTATGCCCTCTGAAAAGATTCCTCTGGTGGCATGGTGTGGAGCTGAACTCCACCCCTGGAGAAGCAAGATGGGGTGATCTATAGATTGAATTAGACTCACAGGCCAGAAGTTCCTCACCCCTGTGCTCCATGCTAATCTTGTTGCAACTTCAGGGGATGGGAAGAGAGGAAAGAGATCTCTACCTGTATATGAGTGATATGCTGGGAGAAACAGATACTCTCCTGCTCTTGTCAGTGGCTTAGAATGGGTGGAAGACTGCTATGCAAGTAAAAGTGAGAGCTGGAGGGATAGAAAGCAACTAAAGATGCATAAATAGTAAATAAATTGGCTGATACAAATGTTCTCCAAAATCAGTCCAACATATAAAGAAGCAGAGAAACTCTTGATTTATAGAAGGCTAGAGTATCCTCTTTGGGAAGAGACTAGAAGCTGGCAAGCAACCTTTCTGCACTGCTAATAGAAAGCCAAGCTAAAATAATTCTGTTCTGAGGCATGCTGCTCAGCTGACAGCTTGTTAATCAAGCTTCATCCTGATGCAAAACATCTCAGTCCAGGCTATAAATCCTCAGGGGAGCCACGAAATTGAAACTGATGGCTGCTCCTTTTTAAAATATGTATTGGATGATTAAAAATAAGCCTCGTTTTGTTGCAGGAAAAATACTTGTACCTGTCGTTTGATGGAGACCAGTTCCATATCCAGTTGCCTCAGCAAGGTGGTAGCGGCTGTTGCATTGGCGGACACAGCCTCCACATCTTCTTGAGAAAGGAACATTCCTTTGGGAGGTTTCCTCTTGGCTCTGTTCTTAGCAGCCTGGGTACTGTGCTTCTCCTTCTTTACCTGAGGGATCGTTTCTGCAGGGGGGACCTGCAAAGCAGAAATCTGCCACACGTAAGCCTGAATGTTGCACATCATACTTTTCACATGAGCAGCTCTTCATGCAGGAGAATGATAAGCATTGCAAGTGGCACAGTTAGAAAGATCGCTGCAAAAGTGGCAGCTGCCACATGAATCAGCCCCACATACAGTCACCAGTTAGCACAAATGGGCAGCTCCCCAGTGGGTTACACCCCACTGGTAGCCCCATGCACTCCTACATGTGGGTAGGGGAACCACCAAGCCCAAATTGGGCTTCTGAGTATATCAAATACAGATGATCTGCCTTTGCTTGCTGCTTGGAACCTGGGGCCAGTGCCCCAGGTCTCAGGCCTAGAGGCAGCCACCTTGGGCAGAGGGACAGGCCTCCAGGAGGCCTTCTTCCTCCACGAATCCAGACCTTACACTCAGTGTCCTCCCTTGCAGTGGCTTCTTGCATATACAGTGGAGGTGGC